GCCCTGTCTTTTTTTCGTTTTTTACTCTTTAACTTTGGGTAAAACTCAGAGCTCATCACTGTCCCTTTTTACTCAGCTGTCCAATCACAGTGGAGTAGGGGCGGGACAAACATTACATTGACCAACCATGATCATACTTGTACAACACAACAATGGATAAGTTAATATTGCTGGTTACTGCATTTTTATATTCAGTAATATTCTTCAAAATAAGATACTTGTAACATGTTACTGCCGTGAATATTCCAAATCATAGCAAACAACGTGTCACTCCAGAAAAATGCAGTGCCTCCAAAGCTCTCTCAAGTACCACCAGCTGGTCGTTTTCAGAAGAGCACCAGGCATTATGTCAGCTGGCTAAACACCTCTGGTGGACACACGTTAATTTATTCATTTATTGTTAGGCATATATGTAATGTATTTGAGTTGATGTTATAATACCTGATGGCCACTAGAGTGCACTCCCGTGTGACGTATACAGGCAAAGTAATCCTGCCAGAAGGTGTCATCAAGGTGCGTGTCAAGTTAAACAGACAAAGTGTACGCTTACCCTTGTATGTGGTTACAAGGAAGGCAGCTCCTCTATTGGGACAAGAATGGCTTCGTAGAATTCGTCTAGACTGGAGGGAGATCAAAACTGTAAGAGTAGTACATCATACTAATGAAGGGACATTGAACAGTCTCCTAAAAAGGTATGACAAAGTATTCAGAGAAGATCTAGGGACATTTATTGGGTATACAGCCACCTTAAATGTGAAACCGGGAACTCAACCGACATTTTTCCAAGCACGAGTGGTACCGTATGCCATCAAACCCAAGGTGGAGGAAGAAATTGATCGCCTGGTGCAGCAAGGTATCATCACACCTGTGCGATTCAGTGAATGGGCAACCCCATTTGTGCCTGTAATAAAAAAGGGTGGAAATGTCAGGATCTGCGGTGACTTTAAAATAACAGTGAACCCAGCTCTATGTGCAGAACATTATCCATTACCCCGAATAGAAGATTTATTTGCTTCATTGGCTGGGGGACAAAGATTTGGCAAACTAGATCTTTCACATGCCTACTTGCAAATTCCTGTGCATGAAAATTCACGTAAATACCTTACGATCACGACCCACAAAGGGATGTTTGTATACAATAGATTACCCTTTGGCATCACGTCAGCTCCATCGATATTCCAACGAGTTATGGAACAAGTGCTACAAGGGCTACCGTTTGTCCATTGTTTTTTGGACGACATCCTGGTCACAGGAAAAGACTGTGAAAAAATCATCTGTCTAATCTTGAGGTTGTGTTGAGTAGACTGGAGAAATGTGGACTTCGTGTTAAAAGAGAGAAGAGCGAGTTTTTCAAAAGTTCACTTGAGTATCTGGGACATGTGATTGATGCATCAGGGCTTCACAAGTCCACAGACAAACTGTGTGCTATCGCAGAAGCACCAGCCCCTGTTAACATTAACCAACTCCGATCCTTTCTGGGACTGGTTAATTATTATGCCAGATTTGTGCCAAACCTGGCCACGGTGATTCACCCCCTGAATGCAATGCTACACAAAGAGGCAAAATGGAATTGGTCTTCTGAGTGTGAGAAGGCGTTTTAGGATGTTAAAACTAAATTATTAACACCCAATGTACTCACACACTATAACCCAAGACTCCCAGTTCGCTTGGCTTGTGATGCTTCGCCCTATGGGGTGGGAGCTGTACTTTCACACATGATGCCGAATGGGCAAGAAAGACCTATAGCCTTTGCCTCCCGAACCAGTCATTTCACATTACTAACAGATCATCGTCCACTTACCACCATACTCCATCCTAACAAAGCAACTCCATCCATGGCTGCGGCAAGACTCCAGAGGTGGGCCCTTCTGCTGGCTGCACATAATTACACAATTCAGTATAGAAGTGCTAACAACCATGGAAATGCTGATGGTTTATCTCGATTGCCACTGCCTGCACAGCATAGCGACAGGGAAGATGCAGTGGAGGCTTACCTCATTAAAAAAATGGATGCACTTCCAGTGGGTAGCAGTGACATCAGGAAGGAAACCCGAGCAGATCCGATTCTCTGTCGTATAAAGGAGATGGTATCCACAGGATTATTCTCACCTATAAAAGACTCAGAAAATGTACTAAAACCATATCTCACGAGGAAGGAGGAACTCTCACTGATGCAGGACTGTCTGATGTGGGGACAACGAGTCATTGTTCCACCGAATCTGAGACAACGAGTTTTAGAGGATTTACACACAGGATATCCAGGTGTAGTAAAAATGAAGGCTCTAGCACGTAGCTACATTTGGTGGCCAAATATCGACTCCCAAATTGAAGAAAGATCAAAGACCAGCATCTCCTGTCAACAAAATCAAAAATCTCCATGTCTCTCATCTTTACACCCCTGGTCATGGCCAGAAGCCCCTTGGCAGCGGATTCACATCGACTTCGTGGGACCATTTGAGGGACGAATGTTTCTGGTAGTTGTTGATGCACACTCGAAATGGCCAGAAGTTTATGTGATGGATTCGACAACGTCATCCAAGACGATTCAAGTTCTGCGTGGTCTATTCAGTCGCTACGGTATACCTGAGACCCTAGTTAGCGACAATGGCCCACAATTTACTTCAGAGGAGTTTGGATATTTTCTGAAAACAAATGGTGTAAAACATGTGCGCTCGGCACCATTCCATCCGTTTCGTACAGACTTTTAAACATTCACTGAAAGCATCCAAAGAACCAATACCACTACAACAGAGATTAGACTCTTTCTTGCTACAGTACAGGAATACACCACATAGCACAACAAAAGAAATATAGCCTATTAAGTCTCTTATGCACTTATGCTATATAACTTACCAAACCTGAGAATTGAGTCCAAGGATTCCCCACCATTCCTAGATGCATAATTTGCGTAGCTGTAATTCATAGGCGGGGAATATGCTAATTGTGAATGAGCGTGCATGGCAGCATAACACACCTGAATAGAGGTAGCGAATGATTGGAATTCATTAACATACACACATTTAACTATCAAATTTGACCTTTACGAAGTATTTGTGAATCCGGAGGAGAGTTTTCAGGAAGGTCCGTTTTACGCGCAAATTACTCAGAATTTACTCCTATATTTACGAATGTTTCATGAATGAGGCCCAATGCCCGCAGTCGGACTCGTCCAACGAGTCCTCGTCTCAGTGTGGGCCAGGCCCAGGCAGGTGACGCAGTGGTCATGTAAATCTGGCGGCTCTATTGGTCAGATCTTGCAGACTGTAGCCATAATGAATTCAGCAGGTGAATTAGAAGATTCTGACGTAATTGTCGCGTGCACCGCATTTTATACTGCTTCTCGAGCTCGTTAGTGTTTGCATGCGATTTGCATACTTTTGTGACAATTGGCCAGTCAATTGGACTGGCGTGAGCCAATAGGACTTCAGGAAAGGTTGAAAGGGAAGGAGTTCCCATAGCGGAGAAACCTCCGTGATGTCTCATGAAACCTCGAAAGGGAACCACACCGGGCAGGGTCACCAGTTCTGTTAATCAAAACTAGCCCAACTGTATTTTTTCCATGGTTTTCCCCTCTGTTGGAGGCCGCTTCCATCGAAACAGCATTCTGAGGAGATTGCTTTAACCCACAGACTAAAAAAACAACCCGCGGCAACAGTGGCAGTCTGCAGTAGAAAAACCGCAGATTTGGCAACACTGACACCAGGGCAAGTTCAAGCTCAAACCGGTGCGCAACGTTTTGCTATAGTTTCCGGTTTGAACGACATGTTTCCTGGAAACGGTGTGCAACGGGGTTTGAGATACGTTTTCTCTTGTTTGGTGGGTGTGTCAAAAATGTCAGCCCAATCAGCAGCAACATGTATATAAACCAAAGAGACCGCTCGCACAATGTAATTATCATGAAAATTAATTCACAAGAGCAAGTATATTGTTTGCACATATTTATTTACATTAAAGGCAAAATAACTGAAATAATAAGAGCACAAGTATAGATCTGGAACTTCTTTAAGTGTGTCTAAATATTATTTAGTAATTGCAATGTCTTCTGGTCCACATCCTTACCTTTGGAAGGTGTGCTAGACACTGATTAATGTAACATAAAAATACTATACATATTTATATATTTTGCTATTGTATTGTGGAGTGACACTTTCATAAATGTTTCTATACTCCTCTCATTATATAATGGTAATTATTATAATAACATAGCACAACAACAGTGATCAGCAATAATGATAAGCCTAATACAATAAAAATAATTTGGTCATATAGATCATAACACAGTCTCAGACGTAAGAAGTGGATTATCTTTCACCTGAAATATTTGTCTTTTCATTCTGAAATGCGAGGCAAATGTTGGATCACATCACAATAATTAGGAACCACAGTTTCCACAAATCCCTTGTTCTCTTTTATTCTGGACGGCAAGGGCAGTGACTGTAGCCTAACATCGAGTGTATTTTGCAGTATTAAACGCGTATTTATACTGATTTCATCAGGCTCCGAAAATTCTTCAAAAAGAACACAAAGAATGGCCTTCTCAGCTGCCATAGTTGCAACTCTTGCGTCATCAGAACAGGGTGTTCAACGCACCACCGTTTCCGTTTCAAAAACATTTTGCACCGTTTTGTCAGGGCTGAACGCATCCCAGGTGCCAGCCCTGTCAGCTGAGAACAGGAAATTGAGGCTACAATTTATTAAAATGTCACAATATAATGGCTTTAGTCCGACTGAAATCATACCAGTGCAATTATTGTGTACCACAGTTATTGGTTGGACAGACAAATAACACAATTGTAGCTCAGCCTCACCCAGTATTTATACACATTGTGTGTATGCTCTGAAATACCGGTGATATGTGACATGTAATTAAGCATAATGTTATGTATACTCTGACATACAGATGAGGACTGTTGCTTGACTATGGAAACCCTGCTGTTGTAGTTTGATTACAGCTAAACATGAGTTACATAGTCCAGTCATATTTGTGTTTTGGGTTGCAGAAATCATCTAACAGGTCACCTGGGGTAAGTATTCATATAATGCATACACACATATGTATTCTCTCTTCAACATACAAGTAAGCTCATGCACACACATAATTACACTATATGGTGCTTTTAAAACTGAAGACACTGTTTAATACCCTGACATAAGATAATTGAAGAATGCAAATTCTTTAATTTTTGCAAATTGTTGAAAATATATGCTGCTTGTGGAAACTGTTTACAGTGTACACATGCTTACATAGGAACACCAATGTTTAATTGTAATCAGTGTGTGTGTGTGTGTGTGTGTGTGTGTGTGTGTGTGTGTGTGTGTGTGTGTGTGTGTGTGTGTGTGTGTTTAATACAATTATCATTAATTATCATGAATAATCACTAACTATTCCATGGTAAACCATATACCACCACATGGAATTTTTAAGGAGACTTAATTACCTTGTTTTGTTCTGTTTTGTTTTTGTTTTGCTTTGTTTTGTTCTGTTCCAATTTTTTTGTTTGTTTTGTTTATTTGTTTTTGCACAGTATACCATATACCACCACATGGGTGTGTGTGTGTGTGTGTGTGTGTGTGTTTAATACAGTCGGACAGATGTTGCTTCTGTAACACCATGGTTAGCCCCGATTGTTTGGGAGGGAACCTTTGACTCCACACTGATCGACTCTATCTACAAACAACAAAACATCACCGTAGCGACCACTCTCTTCGCTTTGGGAAAGTAACAAATTTACATACTTCTCAGACTCTCAAAATACATATTTTTCTCTTGATCATTTCTCCCCCTTTTATTTCATTATATTCTATTTATTTTATTATCTTTTATGTTAATACAGTGTTCTTGGAAGATTTTGTGATGTCCTTAGATTTAGTAAATTTAACTAACAACAAAATTACTAAGGAAAGGCAAACTGCATGCTTACTGTACATGCAAGCTACTTTACTAATAAACGTGTCTTTTGTTTATATTTTGTGTATAGCATTGATTTGAAATAGATATCTTTTGTAACAATAGTTTGTTTTTACTGTTACTTTTTACTGTCCTTGCTTAATAAAAGTATTAATTTCTTTAAAAAATTATATATGGGGTCAGTAACATACACATAAAATTGATACATTGTAATACTTGTTCCTCTCACTTTTTTCCAGATATACACGTTTTCTCAAAGATTTTCTGGAGTCAGCAGAGGAACATTACTTTGTTGGATTTCGAGTGCATTACTACTTGTTTACGGATCTACCAGAGGCAATTCCTAATGTAAAACTCGGTCAAGAACGTTATCTGACAGTAAAGAAGGTTCCAAGTTTGAACAGATGGCAGGACATTAGTATGGGCAGGATGGAAATACTGAAAAAACTAATAGAGAATGAACTGGCCAATGAGGCAGACTATATTTTTTGCCTTGACGTAGATACAAAGTTCTATGGCCGTTGGAGTGTGGAGACTTTGGGTCATTTGGTAGGTGTGATACATCCTTGGTTCTTTAATGTTCCAAGGTTCATATTTACATATGAGCACAGACGAGAGTCTCAAGCATATATTCCAGCTGGGGAAGGTGATTATTATTTTACTGGCGCTGCATTTGGCGGCTCATTGAAAGATGTACAAAATCTCACCAAAACCTGCCGAGAGCAGATGAACATTGATGCTGCAAACTCCATTGAGGCGATATGGCACGAGGAATCTCACTTGAACAAGTATTTCCTTTATAACAAACCTAGTAAACTGCTTTCACCTGAATATCTGTGGCGGGACATTAGTATGAGTGCAGGCCAAGTGAAAATAATTCGCTTCTCTCATGTAGCTAAAAACAATGCTGAAGTTCGTCCAAACTTGTAGCAATTTTGTGAAAGTTTGCATCCTGTAAATGTAAAACTTGGCTTTCCACAAGGACATTTAACTTGAAAGACATAGTTTTTGTTATGACTGACAATGTCTGAAACCTTGTTAAATGCTGATAAATCATGTGCCATAATATTTTTCAGATATATAATTCACAAGTCAATAAAGATGCCATGTGTGTGTATATGTGTGTATATATATATATATAAAATGTTCTTGTGAGCTGTGAATCAGTGATGGCCAGATGTATAAAACATCTAATAATATTTCACATGGCAAATCCTGTTTTTCTTCTCTGACTTTTTCTAGTAAAAAAAAGTTGTATCCTTAAAACAACATTAATTAACCTGAGAAGCAAATAATAATTAAGACTTGTTTTTAGACATCATGTAAAATGTGTTTTCTCTTGGTCTATTTGGAGATTTTTACTTGTTTTAAGCATTAAATTCATTCAATGTTTTGTTTATTTTGCAGTGTATAAGACCTAATCAAAACTCATAAATAGACCTAATCTATTTACCTCAAAATACTGAAAACACACACTACATTTATAATAAACCCGAACAATAACACTTGTAAAAATGTATTTCTTAAACCATAAATGTATTAAGAATGTAGCTACTGCTTTTTTAAATATGGTACAACTTTTGAAGAAATAATACTAATGATAATACATTAAATTAGAACAAAAACAGTATTCAAAAAACATTTCCAATTAATTCCAAGATGGAATTTTGACTAGTCTTCATTTAATTTTTAGATTAACTTAATCTAATTTTTATGCTGTTTCACATGTATTGTTTGCAATAGGCTAGTACATAAAAGTCAGATCAAATGGCCTGAAACTTGATCACGTATTGTTTAAGTGAAGAGTAGGCCTACATCAAACTGTAAATTCAATGAGAATATGAAAGCAGTATTGCAAAACATTGTTTGAAGTCAGTTTATAGACAGACAGACAGATAGATAGATAGATAGATAGATAGATAGATAGATAGATAGATAGATAGAATATCTTTAAACCGTAAACCTATTATGTAGAAATAAAATTAGGCTGCATTGCAAAAACGCAATGTTTAAAAATACATAATTTGAATATAATTTCACATAAACACATAATTAAACACGCAATATGAGCTTTATGTTCTATGCATTTTTAAATACATTTTCAAAATATATTTCAATATATTTAACAGTGTTTCACATATATGTGAATATATTACCTTTCTTTATAGGGTGCCTTTCCTCCACACGTAGCGTGACAGGGTCCTTCTCATAAACAGATAGATAGATAGATAGATAGATAGATAGATAGATAGATAGAATATCTTTAAACCGTAAACCTATTATGTAGAAATAAAATTAGGCTGCATTGCAAAAACGCAATGTTTAAAAATACATAATTTGAATATAATTTCACATAAACACATAATTAAACACGCAATATGAGCTTTATGTTCTATGCATTTTTAAATACATTTTCAAAATATATTTCAATATATTTAACAGTGTTTCACATATATGTGAATATATTACCTTTCTTTATAGGGTGCCTTTCCTCCACACGTAGCGTGACAGGGTCCTTCTCATAAATGAGTAAGCGGCATTTAAAACACTGTTGCTCACTATTTAATTACAGCTTCAGATGCATGATATTTTCGTTTGCTACAAGCAGGATTCACAAGAAGCACGTTCAACTTGGACACGCAGACGGTCGTGGTAATACACATTGTAAACAGCAACCGTTCGCGTGTCCGCGGTTAATACGCATCTTGTTTATGAAAAGCATTTTACGGGGCCTTTGGCTTTTGGGGGCCCAAGGCGGTTGCCAACTTTTGTCTAATGGGTAAGTCCGCCCCGCCAGCTTTAAATGTTTCAAAATGAATAATAGTTGAAAACATTTGCTAGACTTTTAGATAATCAAATGTAATCAGTTACATTAATAAAGTAATTGAAGTAGTCACACTGCTTATTACATTTTAAATAGGGTAACTTGTAATCTGTAACCTATTACATTTCCAAAGTAACCTTCCCAACACTGATTATATCTAGCTTCTACACTAAAAAGGAGTGGGAAGGGTAACAGCATGTTGAGAGCAGTCAAGAAGGCCGATAGTTCCCAAAGTCTAGCAGGAGAGGGCGTCTTTCAACTAAAATACTGGTGAAATGAATTAAGTAAAATTACTGCTTCAACACATCTCTTGGTAATTCCATTCAAAACAGGGGGAAAAAGCATTACATAAAGCAAATTAGAAATGTAACATTTAATTTCACATATGGAATGTTTTTTTGTTTTGTTTTTCTTTGAATAAATTATCATTGCCTTTTAGATAATCCAGCATTATCCGATTGCTTATGGTAATTGCATGAGTAATTTTCTAGTCCAAATCGTAAAAGTTATATTTCTGTAAGGAATTGTAAGAATATTGTGACTGGCACAGTCTGGCGGATAATCAGCTTGTTAGCAGATAATTAACTTGGCTACTTAATTTCTCTAATTGTTCATTTACTACTGGCAAAAGTTAGACTTCTCAGGCAAAATAATGATAACTTAATTTAGAATTTTTCACAAAGTCCTCCTATGAGTTCTAGGCCTAGTCCACACGTACATGGGTATTTTTATAAACTCAGCTTTTCCTCCGTTTAAAAAAAAAAATCTCGCCCAGATCAGAGCCGTTGAGAGACACGGCTCTGGTCCACATGAAAAGGCAAAAGCACGCTATGAAGCGATGTCAGGTGCATGCCAAACCAACAGGTGGCGATATAACCCTAACTGTAAAGCCATGTTAGCCAATCACAGACATGCCTCATGTTAACAACGACTTTAAAAGCCAAACTCTCCGGTTTCACCGGCTACACGACAACACTGCAACCGGAGTTTCTGAAAATCCATGTGCAAAACTCTAGTGCATCTCAGGTACCTCAATCGTCAAGGAGGATTACGTTCCTGCCCCCTGTGCAGGCTGGCAAGGTGTGTTCTTCTTTGGGCTCAGACAAAGCTCCTGTCGATCAGAGCAGTCCATGTCCCAGGTCGCCTGAACTCAGGAGCGGACTTGCTCTTGAGACAGAGTCTGGAGGATGGGGAGGGGAGATTGCACCACCAGGTGGTGGATCTCATATGGCAGAGGTTCGGCCAAGCGGAAGTGGACTTGATTGCTTCGAGTTTGACGACGCACTGCCCACTCTGGTTTTCCCTGTCTCCCCCGTCGCCTCTAGTTCTGGATGCTCTGGCCCACAAATGGCCCAGGACCAATCTTTATGCTTTTCCCCTAATCCGGTTGCTCCCAGTAGTTCTGTTCAGAGTATGATCAGACAGAGTGGAGCACTTGCTGCTGGTGGCCCCATGGTGGCCCACTCAGTCGGGGTTCTCGGACCTGGTCAGTCTGCTAGCTGGCCCTCCATGGGAGGTTCCCCTCAGACACGATCTGTTGACACAAGCTCGGGCATGATTTGGCATCCTCGACCGGAATTATGGAGGTTATGGGTGTGGCCCCTGAGCGGAGTACGCTAATGTGTTCCGGTCTCTCGGCCGAGATTACCGACACTATTATAAATTCTAGGGTTCCCTCCACGAGACACTTATATGCTTTCAAGTGGAGACATTTTGCCTCTTGGTGAAGACAGCGCATTCTAGATCCAGTCCATTGCCCCATTGGTTCAGTACTGGAGTTTCTTCAAAATCGTTTTTCTGAGGGATTTACCCCCGCCACTCTTAAGGTGTACGTGGCGGCCATATCGGCGGGGCATGCACTCGTGGGAGGTGTTTCAGTTGGTCGCTATACCCCCTGGTCTCTCATTTTATGCAGGGTTCGAGACGGCTTAGGCCTTTCCGCCCAGCACGATTTCCTTCTTGGGACTTATCGATTGTTTTGGAGGGCCTGACAGGCCATCCTTTTGAGCCGTTGGAGTCTGTGTCAAAGAAGCTCTTGACCCTCAAGACGGTTCTTTTGGTGGCTTTATCCTCCCTTAACAGGGTAGGGGATCTGCAGGCTCTCTCCATCAGCCCTTTGTGTATGGACTTTACCCCAGGGCTGGTTAAAATCTTTTTGCGACCTAGGCCTGATTATGTTCCTAAGATCACTTCGACTCTGTTTCGCTTTCAGCAAGTGGCCTTAGAGGCCTTCTCCCCAGCTGATGCGGGGCCAGTTAGCCTGAGTCTCTGCCCTTAACAGGGTAGGGGATCTGCAGGCTCTCTCCATCAGCCCTTTGTGTATGGACTTTGCCCCAGGGCTGGTTAAAATCTTTTTGCGACCTAGGCCTGATTATGTTCCTAAGATCACTTCGACTCTGTTTCGCTTTCAGCAAGTGGCCTTAGAGGCCTTCTCCCCAGCTGATGCGGGGCCAGTTAGCCTGAGTCTCTGCCCAGTGAGGGCACTTAGGATCTATGTCGACCGTACGGCTCAGTGGCGTGGATCTGACCAGTTGTTTGTGTGTTTTGGTGGTAAAATCAGAGGTTCTACTGTCACTAAACAGCGGATGTCACACTGGATAGTGGAGGCTATCTCTTTGGCCTATGAGGCGCGTGGCTTGACTTCGCCTTAAGAGGTGCGTGCTCAATTTACAAGAGCAGTGGCTTCTTCTCAAGCCTTCTTCAAAGGGTCCTTGATGGAAGATGTTTGTGCTGCGGCAGGATGGTCCTCTCCTAGCACCTGTTTCGCTTTCAGCAAGTGGCCTTAGAGGCCTTCTCCCCAGCTGATGCGGGGCCAGTTAGCCTGAGTCTCTGCCCAGTGAGGGCACTTAGGATCTATGTCGACCGTACGGCTCAGTGGCGTGGATCGGACCAGTTGTTTGTGTGTTTTGGTGGTAAGAGCAGAGGTTCTGCTGTCACTAAACAGTGGATGTCACACTGGATAGTGATCTCTTTGGCTTATGAGGCACGTGGCTTGACTTCGCCTTTAGGGGTGCATGCTCATTCTACAAGAGCAGTGGCTTCTTCTCAGGCCTTCTTCAAAGGTTCCTCGATGGAAGATGTTTGTGCTGCGGCAGGATGGTCCTCTCCTAGCACCTTCATCAAGTTCTACAGTCTGGACGTGAGGTTGGCTCCTGGCTCCCAGGTCTTATCCTCTTGAGCTATCTAAAGGTACGTCAGGTGTTATGGTATAGCGTTCCTAAAGCGATGATGTCATCGCAGCATCGAAGTGAGCCTATGAGAGGGAACATCTCGTTACGTATGTAA